CAAACTGAAAAAAATAACCTCGTGGGAAAAAGGTTTTAAGTGATCAAGAAGTGAAGGAAGCAGTTTCGGCGTATTTTTTAGACAAAGACAAATCATTTTTTTTGAGGGTATACATAAGTTAATTGAAAGATCCGAAAAATGTATTAGGGTAGTAGGTGAATATATTGAAAAGCAAAAATCAATTTGGATTTTTATTTCTACTCCTAACCCCCCATTCCGCGAACTTAAAAACGCACCCTCGTACCACGGCTCCATGTAATCTTGGATCACGAAAACACGAAAACACGTTACTGTTATTTTCGCCATGTTTTATCTAAGGATCTTATAATATAACTATTCTGTACTGCCGAAAACTTTATCTAGCTTAGCTATTCTTTATCTTAATTCATAACATAGTAAGAATAAGTTCAATTATAATACTAGAACTTTTCTGCCTATTGAAGTAACCGCTGACAGAAGGCAACTTCTGCCTACATTCAGTATTAATTTATTTATCTCGATCAATCACCTTTTTATGTTATATTTAAATCATCATATTCATTATCATCATAATAACTGATTATCACAAGTCCACTGCTAAACATAGACTCCCCTAAGAAATACCACAAAGTACGGACCTGAGCCACATACGTGCATCAACTTTCTTTATATTTTGACTTAGATTAACGTTATTTTATATAAGAGATTTGTGTAAGGAATAAAAATGATTAACCATTTCACTGTCCCGTGAGTTATATAATATGAACATGTCGAATGTTTAACTATTGTGCCTTTTTCGCGGACAAGCAAGTTGTAAATTTGGTTACAAGTATCGTCAAGTAAAGTTAAAGCCTACATTTGCACCATTGTTACGCCTCCTCTGAATTTTCACAAGTTCTGTGGCGGGAAATAGTCTATCATGCTGCCCTGATGTGTGTTTGCGGTCTTTACATGTCCCCGAAACATTTTTAATTTCTCATAAATGCAGCCATATAGCTCGAAGAACCGACAACCGATGGGGAAGAAAGGTTCTCTAATAGCAGCCTCGTACCGGCAGGCGAAGTGTAGAGCGACTCCCCACTAGATGAAGTGACGACCTGGCAAGACATGCAGGAAGACGACGGATGCAGATGACGTCCCTCGGGGGAGGCTTATGTTCAGCAGTGGACTTGGACGTATGTGTTCACAGCCTAACGATGTGTTTACAACCCAAAATGTAGTAAACTTAAAATTGCAATTAACAACTTTATAGACGCTGCCCAGTTTGTGTTTACGCTAGTACTATAAAATTTTAAGGTCAGCGCTTATTATCTATTTATAAATATATTAAAACAAAAAGTAATTTAACTAAAAGACCTAACGTACAATAGGAGAAATTCTCTTCATTTTCACAATACCAATTCATACACGAAAAATGTTGATGTATTTTTAAAATCCTTTCCACATATAGGTACGAACACGTATTTATGAAATTAATTAAAAAATGACTTCATCAAATTCTTCCTTTGTTTCAACAGATATAACGATAGTTAATTATGCACGTAACCTGATCAATTGATAATTGCTTCTGATGTCAAATTTAGCAGGCATTTGGACACGAACTCAAACTTACTCGCAACACGGACAGCGGCAGAAGGCAACTTATGACGGTTATTGATTTACAAGTAAATCAATTATATACTGTCGGACGTTTTTGCTACCACCTTTCATATTAAATTTTGTGTTATCTTTCTGTTACCACGTCAAGTTAAATTATTGTTTTAAAAGAGGCTCTTAGCCTAATGTGGATCGAAGGATCACTGTGGCTATACAGATTATTGTTGTTTTGTTCTTGATATTGTTCTTGGCAAAACTTGCTAATACTTGCAGAAAAGTTTTATTTTAACGACTTGAATGTCACAAGGAATATTTGTCCTAATTGTGCTGAGTACAAATCACACAAATATTGTCATTTACTTCATACGTGTAACGTAGAAGTTTCTATGAAATGATTTGAAAGTAGTGTCGTATTGGTTAAGTGACAACTTTCCAAAAATTTATAAGTTTGTATATTAAGCAAACTGTATTTCAATTTCAACTCGCAGTTTGTTTATTATCAATGCTTTCAACTGCATTTTAATATATAAAACACATATTTTTATCAGATATCTAATATACAGGATATAAAATAAAAGCTTTTTGTCTTGACATATCTACACTCCACATACTATCGAAAAAATAACATTTGAAATCACACAAAATTCACAGCTTACTGACACTGTCAATAATTATTTTGTGGCAACATTTTAAAATTCTTTGGCGACAATCTCTCCAGAGCGACTGTTTGACCATAAACCTCATAGATTATTATATATTTATTTAACTTAATTTGTTTTCTATCGCATATTATATATAAATTTTAGCTTTCTGCACCACTTCTCCATGTAAGCGTTAACTTTGCGCAATATGCTTTAAAAGGGGTACAATGTGTTGCCTACACTTATTACTATATTAAGAACTTCTCCAAATTCTCCCTTATTAATACACAACCGGAGCTGATGTCCTTTCCAAAATGCCGAAGTCTAATACCACAGACTGATGATGGAAAACAGTATTACCAGTGCAAGTAAATCGACTATGTGCTTACTAATCTAGCGCTAGGGTGGTCAGTATGAACGAATCTTTCGAGCTTTCAAGCTAGTTGCAACTACTAAAGAAATTTTAAACGTGTTAAAGCCATGCTACAGCCATATTACTAGTATAGTTGTAGCATAAATGGGTCAGCTCGACCGGGAAAGGACCACGCTCTCACAGAATACCGGTGTAAAATAGCAGCTTAACACTGCTGTGTTTCATGTGATGAGTGACGAGTGTAGAGAAGCGAGTGAAGAGAAGGTAACAACGCATCTGTATTTTGATTCGTAATAGAGGATTGACGTAGATGTCGATGGGCCACAGCAACCACTTACCATCAGATGGATTGTGTGCTAGTTAGTCACCCTTATCCTATAAAAAACAAAACTGGAACTGGAACTGGAACACATAATCCGCCACATAATATCACAAACCACACGTAGGTATTACATACGAATAAGTTTACACTCTTAGGTATCAGAATGCGTGTAGATTCAGGTTGTTAAAGGAAGCAGAGACATTTTTGAGAGGTTCACAATGCATCTGCATTTTGATTCGCAAACAAGGATGGATGTAGATGTCTATGAGCCACAGGAACCACTTACCATCAGGTGGACTGTGTGCTCACTTTTCACCCTTATCCTATAAAAAAACTTAACTAAAACTTAATCCGGTATTGGCTTCACAGATATATCTCAAAAAGAAAAGGAAAGGTTTTATTCTTGACTGAATGACAGACATCTCACCAGCTAACATCTTTTTAAATATTTGATGAAAACTTAACACAGCTGAAGTTTTTCCTCCACTAAAAGACTTAATAATTCCTAAAGAACATTCACTCGTATTTACCCTTACTAGTGGAGAGGCTCTTCTCATTTTTAACTTTTAAACAGTAATTTACGTAATTAATGTTTTTACATAAAATATTATTCTACAAAAATGATGATCTTTTAAATAATAATAATCTTTGCCTTTTTAAATAGCTAGGTTTTCTTAATTACAGAAATGTCTGCATAATGTATTTGCATAATACTTCAAAACTTATGAAAAGCGTTTAGTATTGAAGGAATTTTACAGTTTTATTAGTGCAACAGTTGTTGCGTGCATTTAATTTATAAAAAGGTCAACTTAAGGAACTTTTCGTCCACAAGACCAGCATTGCATCCTGGCCGTCAGAGATGCCAACATATCTGCATTTAGATTTATAACCGAGGATAGATGTAATTTTCTGGGCTATAGCACAGGTGGACTGTGAGCTCGCTTTGTTTTCCTTATCTACCATAAAAGAACCATTCCGTAGTTTCTTTTACGAGTCAGGCAATTAGGTATACATTAATCCATTGCCAGAAACAAATAATCTTCTCGTATAAGCAATAAACTGACAGAGAGATAGAGTCCCTCTGAAAGATTTATTGCACTATAAACTGACAACGTGCATGTCCAGTCGTTTTCATGGCCCCTGAGCTTTCCGCAACGAAAATATTACGCCCTTTCATAAAGTTTGATGACGGCATTTTTATGTGGCGAACAAGATACATACGCTATTCTTAATGCAATACGTTTCCCAACTGAATAAATTATATATTGTGAAACATAATGAAGACTTCAAATGACTCGAAATAAATAAAAAATATACTGTAGAGGACGTTTTAGCGAAAATAAGTTAGCTAATGTACATATTCAGTTCTTGTTATAATGTCAAGATTTTACCAATTCTACAAAAAGTCGTGGCTTTTGTGGCGTGGACAGTTAAAACAGTGATGATGAAGGTTGTGCTACATCAACCTTTGTTCAACATTTTTCTCGGTCTTCTACATACTATTTGATACGTCCAAGAGGATGTAACATAAATGTGGCAAAATTGAAAATATCTAGGTGGTAGAACTTCTTTGCCTGTTATTTCCTTTCTTCTGCCGAAAAATAACAGTGCTTGCACCACGGTGTTACCGTCTCAATGGTATAGAGCCAGTTTAATTACAGGCAGTGCGGCTGTCCATCTTAGACCTCAGAGGTGACAACGTATGTAACCTTCTTTGTTTTGATTTGGCTGCAGGTGTCCATGTACTGCAATAGCCACTTACTATTCTTTTTATAGAAGAGGGGGCAAAGGAGCATGCGGCTCACCTGATGGTAAGTGTCGACCGCCGCCCACGAACAACTGCAACATCAGGGGAATCGCAGGTGCGTTGCCGGCCTTTTATAAAGAGTAGGCGCTTTTCTTTGCTCTTGTAAGACCCAGGCCCGTATCGGTTCGGAAAAATCACTGGTAGTAGTCGATTCCACAAGGAAATTGTTGTTGAAACTTCTTGTGTGTGGATATATACAATCAGGTAGACAGTAAGTTTGTTCGTCACCTCAGTATTGTATAAATATTCTTATACCTAATAAATCTTTATCGTTGAACCAACCTTACAAAAAATACATTGACATTATTCGCTGCCCCCGTCTGCATTACATTTGGCTGAGTGTTATTGTAGTAGTGCCTCGCATGGGAGACGGCCGCGACCGCGGCAAGCCGCTGCGAGCTGCCCATAGCCCAGCTGAGCGGGCTGCGCTGTGCGCTGACTGCACCCACGCTCGCCACCAGCCACCACTGGCGCCAGCAAGCCACCACCGAAACGCGCGGCGCCGCCGGTGCGACTGCCGCGTCCTATTTATTTTTCTTTTGTAAATTTTTATTTCACTAAATGTCTTAACTTTTCAATCCAGTCAGTGCTAATCAATGCTAATCTTCAGTCGTATATATCAACTAGGTTTCGATTTAAGCCGTCTGTTGACCAAACACATCTGCAACAAGACAAATTATTCTACAGTCAAGTTTGATTCAGTCAAATTTGTTAGGAAGTTAATTAAAAATCCAATAAGGAAGCTCTGGGAAAATTAATTAAATTCAGATTGCATTATCTGGGAATCTCTTCCCTTACGTAATGCTGTTCATATTAAGATACTCGGTTTGGAGAAATACGAGTATGTTTTACTGTGTTGTCATTTACTCGTCGGTTTTAAATTTTTTCATATATTACAGGGTATCAACAATCCACTGCTGGATATAATACTATGACTACCCCATAGATTGCCATGGTAGCCATGCACGGAAACCACATTTTTTATTATTTTGAGTTGTTATCAGAAAGATGGTGCTGCTTATCTTTTCCACTTCCCTCTGTTAACTCTTACGACAGTATATTAACAAACTATGTTATTTATATTTTATAAGAATTTATCCAATTGTTACCTTAAATAATTAAGCTTGCAAGTGGCATTTATTCGATATGTATTGTTCTATACTTTTACCATGAAAAAAAAATCTATTTAAATTCGAAACCATAGTCACCTTTACACTTTTTTTTATTTTTATAATTTTTCTTCAAATGACGTTATTTGCTACTGACTGTCAGACTATCACGTTATTAATAGTGTATAACATTATTACAGATATTAAAATTATTTTTTTCACACACTGTCACTGTTTTTGCCACGAGTTGAATTATGTCTACAACACGGATAGTTCGGCTTAATCAGGGAAAAATCACGTACAGCCAGCGGCATGCAATTAATTCTGATGTGTTTCGTATAGGAAATGACGAGAACCAAAAACTTTTTTTATTAAACTGACGTGACTGACGAACTTACAGACAACTACAACCTCAAACAAATAATGTTACAGATGTGTTGTCATCACTGAAGACTAAAATGGAATGCATCACAGTCTGTGATTAAATTGATCCTCTATATCTCCTCTATATCGACCGGAACACAGTAGTGCAGGAACTGATTTTTGGCGGAAATAGGTAAGAAAGTGTTATCTACCCACGGACTCAAAGGCAGAGAAGTCCTAACCACTTAGTAAAACTTAAGTACTTTAAAGAAACACAATTCTCAAAGGTGAAAACGTCTCTAGTTTCACTGATTCTCAATCGTAGACAAATGATAGTGCCAATGGAACTATAGTATCTAACTATAATGTGTTCGTTTTTTTCGTCACAGACCTAAATAATCCAAAAGTGGATTCTTACAGACTGATTAACAACAAAATGCGCTCTGGCACAAACGAATTGTTAAAATGATTGTGTATGATATATTTTTTTTATTTCTGAAGTTTGTAAAGTTAATGTAAATCCAAGAAGTACCCACTTGTAGATCCTTTACTTACGTGATCAACTTCTCGTTTAATTGATATAAAAAATTATTTCGTCTCTACATTATGAAAAATTATAGCCAACTTCACAAAATTAAAACGTTAGGTATACAATCTTATTTTAATTAAAACACAAATTTAAAATGTTCATACCATTTAAAGTAAAAGGTACTGATTTAAAAAAAACACTGCCAAATTATATAAATTTTATACGTTTTGCATTGTTTGTATTAGATAGAGCGATTTTCTCATCGTCCTGTCAGGTTTTGTCGACATATTTAACTAATATAAAATTAAGTATTTAAATGTAAATAACTATAAAATGTTTATAAAATAAAGTTACTCATGAAATAATTTCATAACATCAGCATTATTCTGTTATTGCGTGAACCGGAAACCCTTTTTACTTGTATGAAAGCACTTCATCGTAGTCTTCATAGTGACCACTGCATTTTGATTAATAATCGAGGTTAAATTGTTTTACACAGGTGGACAGTGTGCTAGTTTCTCAAACTTAATTGTATGAAAAAATATTACACATTATGCTTTTCAATATAGTTTTAAACATCATCCTCCTGTATGTTAATGTTATGTTCCTTTAAAAGGAGTTTAATCTTTTTTCTTTTATTTATTCTCATAATTTTAATAGGCTGTATCTTCTTAAATGAACTTAGATTTTAAGAATAGTTATGTTTTCTGAATAACTAATAAAATGAACATTTAATTAAACCAAACAAAATTTACCTTAAAATTATACGCTTTAAATCACTACACTTAACGCGGCACAAGTTCGCGCACCTTCGGCGGGCGTTGACGCGACTTTCGCCCCCGGACCGTCACAATCGAGTGCCGGAAACCGCCCCAGCTCCACCAACGTTCGCCGTATGAACATTTCTACGTTTGTCGAACGTTTGCAGCAATAGTAAGTCCTTTCTGTAATATACGTAAGTGATTCAAAAATAGAAATTTATGAGCGACGTGCATTTGTGTGATTGTTTTTAAGTGTTGCTTTCGTTAATTTGATACCGCTTTCTCAAATCATCTATAAATTAATACGTGAAGAGTAAACTTTGTACCGCTTTTTAAACATAATAAACATGTTGCACCCACGGCGGTGTGTGAGATTTAGCATAGTTAATGGAGAAGGAATTCAGTAAGTTAAAATTGACTTGTAATATGTGTTATAAATACAATAAATGAAATAAAACATTCATTGTTTACGTCCGTCTATCCACAGATTATTATATATATTTCAGAAGTCTGTCGATGTCAAATAAATTTATTAGTCTGTAGCCAAAAAGTCACAAAAAGTAAAAAGATTTTGGCGGGAACTAGACCGGCGGCCGATTGCTACTCCTGTATTATTGTTAGATAATGGTTTGAAATGGATTTTCATACGTAAAAGTGGTTCGATTTTATGTATTGTCTGCGCCTTTGTACTATTGGTTGAAACGGTGAAACAAGTGCTTCGATGATGATGTGAATCTCAAGCCAGTCAGTCTGCTTAGGCGCATTGAGATACTATCGCCAACTGTCTGCTGGCTCGAGTTGCGTAGTTTTCGGGAGATCAAAATCTCCCGAAAACTACGCAATATCACGCATCAACATATTGTGAAGCAGTGTAGTATAAAAGATTATTATCACTTGATACTGAGATAAATGAAGACATGACTTAAAGGACAAGCACCCAAGCCAAAAATCTTAATTTAAAAAAGTAAAGATTGTCGCCAGAGATTTTTAAAATATTGGCGGCAAATAATTGCTGACGGATTGATTGAATGAGGTGTGATTTTAAATGTTCCTTTTACAAATAGTCTATGGGATGTATGTCTATTTCAAGGCAAAAGAAGGGCTTATTTTATATTTTGTATATTAGGTATCTATGTTTTATGTATTAATGTGAAATTGAAAGTGAATTACAGCTTACATATATCATATATATTATGATGCAGTTGAATGTTTATATCATCTGTTGAGTCCAAAACGATAAATTTTAAGTAGCAATTTGAATTGACTCTGGCTCGTCTAATTGTTATATCTATTAGTGCTTTTCAAAAAAAAATATGCAGTGACTATAATTATACTCTTAGACGAAAGAACCTCAATAACGTTTGATTTAATAATCATTTTTTTATAGAACAAGGGTGACAAATGAGCACACAGTCCACCTGATGGTAAGTGGATGTTGTGGCTCATAAAGCTCTACGTTTATTCTCGATTAAGAATCAAAATACAGATGCGTTGTCACCCATGCGGAGTCCTTAGTCGGAAACGAGGTATTCCATCTTATGGAATAACCTCGTTTCCGGTGAAAACATGTCTCCGGTTCTTCTTCTTCTTCTTTCTTTTTTATGGCGGTTTTGATCATTCGCCAATGTCAGCGTGAAAGCGTTTATTGAGTAGAAGCTCAGTAGTTACAAATACTATGCCCATATACAAGAGAAGATTGTGATAGTACAAGTATCTTTTTTCCCTTTAAACCAATTTTTTCCCCTTTTATCTTGTAGTACTAATGGTTATACTGTTGAATTACCTAGAACAAATGACAAACACGGTTGCTATAACTACATTAGTATGTTAGTATTGACAAACATTAAACTTTTATACCATTAGTGTTAATAAAATCACACAGAATATATACATAAGGAGTGTTTGTGTAGGTTAAAAGTGAATCAAAATTTATAGGACGAGGGATGTCAGGAGGGAGATAATCATAGAGTGAACAAGATAATTTAGGACAGTTAAAAAAAATATGGTCGGAGGTTCCCTCATCCAACCCACATTCGCAGAGGGAACTATCCCTAATCCTCAGTTTGGCCAAATGTACTGGTGTACAAGCGTGGCCAATTCTAAGTCTACAAATAGTTGATGTAGAATGTTTATTAGCTTTATTGAATTTGAAAAACCATGGTTTTGGAAGGATGGCACATTGTATAGCAGCATAGTGTTTACCTTTTATATTTTGAGTGGCTTTCCATAATGTATTCCAATTATTGTTTAACTTCTTCTTTGCAAGTAACACTATGTCTGAGGAGTAAGTTAAATTACATGGCAAACCATTTCGACTGGCATTTTTAGCCATCAGATCAGCTGTTTCATTGCCCTTGATGCCACTATGACCTGGAATCCAAGCTAAGGAAACCTGTATGCCCTTGAGATGACATCTATACAATGTGTGTTTAATTTTGAGGATCAAGGGTATCTTATATTTACTTTGGAATTGGTTTGACAAAATTGCTAACAAACAACTTTTGGAGTCGGTAAGAATAACTGACTTATTTAAGTTGTGTGCTTCTATATATATTAAAGCTTCATGAATTGCCGTGGCCTCGCCAGTAAAAGTGGAAGAAATAGAAGGGCATTTAAAATTAAGAATTATTTTGAATCTGGGAATC